AAAAAAAAACATAAACCAAGATGCCAAATGTCCAAGAACTCTGCAATACAATCAAGAGACCAAACTTAAACCCACAGGACTGAAGGAACAAGAGATAAAAGCCAAAGATACAGAAAACATAGTCAATATAATTAGAGCAGAAGTTCCCCAAATATAGAGAAGGATGCATCCAAACACAAGAGGCATTTAGAAACCCAGATATAGCCAGAGATGAACCTTTCCATAATACATTACTGTCAAGATGTTAAAAATATAAAGAAAAGCTGGGTGTGGTGGCACACGCCTTTAATCCCAGCACTCGGGAGGCAGAGGCAGGTGGATCTCTGTGAGTTCAAGGCCAGCCTGGTCTACATAGACAGCTGGGGCTACAGGTAGACCCCATCTCAAAAAGACCAACAAAAAAAAAAGAAAGAAAGAAAAGAAAAAAGAAACAGGGCTGGAGAGACAGTTCAGTGATTAAGGGCACTGATTGCCACCACCCACATGGCAGCTAACAATCATCCCTAACTCCAGTTCCAGAGGAATCCAATGCCTTCTTCTGACCTCTGAGGGCACTGCACGACATGGGTGCACTTACACATATGCAGGCATAACACTCATACACATAAAATAAAAATAAATAAAATATATTTTAAAAATACAAAGAAACAATATCCAAAGTTGTAAGGGGAAAAGGTCAATTCACATGCAAAGGCAGGATATCAGAATATCATCAGATCCCTATCAGCAACCCTAAAAGTCAGAAAATCATGGAATGATATAAACTAAATAAATGCCAACCAAGATTGCTACATCCAGGGCTGGAGAGATGGCTCAGTGGTTAAAAGCACTGGCTGCTCTTGCAGAGGACTCGGGTTTGATTCCCAGCACCCACAGGGCGGCTAACAAATGTAACTCCAGTTCCAGGGGATCTGATGCCTTCTTCTGACTTTCTCAGATATTGCACGACATGGGTGTACTTGCATGCAGGCAGTACACTCATACATATAAAATAAAATAAAAATAATAAAAAATAAAATATTTTTAAAAGACTGCTATATCCAAGAAACTATCTTTCAAAATTGACAGAGAAATAAGCATATTTCAAGATGAATCCAAATTAAAGCACTTCTTGACCACCAACCCAGCAATACAGAATATATTTAAAGAAATATAACAGTTTTTAGATGTATGCACTGAATGTTAGGGTTCCTAATTTCATAAAACCAACACTAATGGGCATAAAAGGTCAAATAAGTCCTCATACAATTAGAGTAGGTGACTTCAATGCTTCACTCGTCTTTAGATAAGTCCTCCAAACTAAAAATCAACAAAGAAACTTCAGAGTTAAACTACATCATAGATCTAATAGACTTAACATATATCTAATGATGTTATACAAAATAAACATTCCTTTATAGACCATAAAGCAAATCTTAACATATACAAAAGAACCAAAATAATTTGTTGTATTTTATCAATTCACAGTGGTCTAAAACTAGAAATCAGTAGCAAGAGAAACTACAAATACTGAAAGACTAAACAAGACACTGTGGAACAACCAGTAGGTCACTGAAGGAATCAGGGAGGAAAATTTTAAACTCCTAAAATCAAATGAAAAATATAACTATGAGAACCTTTAGGGTACAGCAGAGGTAGTTCTAAGAGTCATCAAAAAATCCAAAAGCTTTCAAATTATCTAATGATATACCTCAAGGTCTTAGAAAAACAGCAACCCAAATTTAAAAGCAACAGGTAGTAAGAAATTCAAAAGATCAGAAATTAATGGAGACCAAAATAATACATAGAATCAATAAAACAAAAAGGCAGTTCTTTGAAAAGTAAAAAAGTCTAACAAATTCCTAGCTAAACTAACCAAAAGAGAAACCTGGCATGTTGTTGCACACCTATAATCCGAGGACTTAGGAGGTCAAAGCAGGATCAGGAGTTCAAGGTTATCCTCAGTGATATACTGGTTGTAAGGCAAACTTGGGGCTATACGAGACCCTGTCTCAAACCAACAAGGAATAGAGAAGAAAAAAGGAAAAAAAAAAAGGAGGGATGAAATGAGGGAAGAGAGAGAGGGAGAGAGAAAGGGAAAGAGGGAAGAGACCCAAATTAATAAAATTAGGGATGTACAACAGATTTCAATGAAATGCAGAGAATCATTAGGGAACTCTTTGAAAATCTGCATTCCAAAAAACCCAGAAGATCTAGAAGAAATATATAAATTCCTAGACCCATATCCTAAAAAATTAAATCAAGAGGATATAAACAACTTGAGAGTTCCATTAACAAGCAGTGAAACTGAAGCCTTAATAAAAAGTCTTCCAACAAAGCAAAGTCTAGGACCAGAGAGATTTACTACCAAATTATACTAGAACTTTAAAGAAGAGCCTATCAGTGAAACACTATCAAATTCATTCTATTAAGCCAGGGTTCCCCTGATACAAAAACCCAATAAGAACACAACGTAAACAATAAAACTATACAATTTCCCTGATGAACCAGACACAAAAATTCTCAATAAAATTCTTACAACTGAATCCAAAAATAGATTTAAAAGATCACATACCATGACAAGTTAGTTTCATGCCAGGGATTCAAGGTTGGCTCAACATACACAAATCAACAAATGTAATACAATACATAAATACCCTTAAGGACAGAAATCACATCATTTCAATAGATATTAAGAAAACCTCTAACAAAGTTCAACAAACAAAAACTAGGAAGAGAAGGAATATACTTCAATATAATAAAGACTATACATGACAAACCTACAGCCAACATCATAGTAAATGGGGAAAAACTGAAAGCATTTCCTTTAAAATCAAGAATAAGGGGCTGGAGACATGGCTCAGCAGTTAAGAGCATTGACTGCTCTTGCAGAGGACCTAGGTTCAATTCCCAGCACCCACATGGCAGCTAACAATCATCTGTAGCTCCAGTTCCAAGGCATCTGACACCCTCTTCTGACTTCCTTGGGCACTGTGCCACACTTACATACATGGCAGGCAATAAATCCATGCACATAAAATAAAAATAAATAAAATATTAAAAATATCTAAGTTTAACAGAAGAGGAGGGGCTCTGAAGCTTCCCCTTAAGAATATCTTTCCAACCTACCATTCAAGCTTCTACTAATAGCCTAAATAAAATACAGCTATTAAATTATAAAGCTTCCTACCTATACAATTACTTGGTTAACATTTCTCCACATCATTTTCAAGTATGTCAGGCTTCTTCAAATATCTTAAATATACATTACACCTGCTACAAAAAAGGGCAATGAAAGAAGAAATAGAAAAAGATTTGTCTGCCATGACTAGCTCTAAAAACCCAGGCTTCCAGTGGTCACTGCTTTTTTTCAAATGCTCCATCAAGAGGTATAAAAACATTGTTGGGTTCAAAGAACAGAATTATACTCTTAAAAAAAAAAAAAAAAAAGTAGCCTCAGGGACTAGAAAGATGGCTCAGTGAGTAAAAGTACTGGCTGCTCTTGCATAGGACCCAGGTTAGGTTGCAAGCACCTACATGGTGGCTCCCAATTGTCTGCAACTCTGGTTCCAGAGGATCTGATGGCAGGCATTGTATGCACACAGCACACTTACATACATGCAAGCAAAAACATTCATACACATAAAAATTATTTTTTAAAAATAGGAGCCTCATACTTAGGTAATAAAAACAAGAAAATCATTGTAATCCAATATAAATGTAATGTTTATTGTTAACAGTTATGATATGTGCAGTTGATACCACTTTTGCCTGCAAAGATAAAGAATTTCTTCATTGTTTTCTTATATATTTAAATAAATCTTGGGGCTGGAGACATGGCTCAGCAGTTCAGAGCACTTGCTGCTCTCCAGAGGACCCAGGTTTGGGTTCCCAGCACCCAAATGGCAGCTAACAATCATCTGTAACTCCAGTTCCAGGGAATCCAATGCCTTCTGGCCTCCATGGGCTTTGCACAACATGGGTGCACTTACATACATGCAGGCAGTACATTCAAATACATAAAATAAAATAAATGAATAAATTTTTTTTTAAATCTCAGCTCATTAAACAGGTTTTCAGTCTGAACATTCTTAATAAAACGAAGCTAGCATTACTTCAAATCACGGTGTTTCAGAGATTTGAGAGCCTGGTGTTAAACACAGTTTCTTTTTTCAGACGGGAACACTGAGGCTCTCAGAGATGGACTGATTTGAACAAAGACATAAAACAACTCTGGCATGGCTGAGAACAGAAGTTAGAACTATTCAGCTGCTATTGATGCTACACAAACCATAAAATATTTAAACAACAACAACAACAAAAAAGTAGAGGCTGGAAAGTTAGGTCAATGGTTAAGGGCACTTGCTGCTCTTGCAAAGAGTCCAGGTTCAGTTCCCAGCACCCATATCGGGGGGTTCACAACCACCTGTAAGTTTTCTGGCTTCTGTGGATACCTGTACACAGTTGTTGCATGCATTCATACACATACAAACACACACACACACACACACACACACACACACACAAAACCTTCTGGGTTAAAGTAGAAGAGAGATGGCTCAGTGGTTAAGAGCATTGGCTGCTCTTGCAGAGGACCCAGGTTCAATTCCCAGCATCATAAGGTGGCTAAGAACCATCTGTAACTCCAAATTTCAGGATATCGGATACTTTCTTCTGACCTCCACAGTCATTTCACAACATACGTGCACTTACATACATGCAGACAATATACTTATACACATTAAAATTTTTAGAAAGTAGTAAGAACAGGGGGCTAGAGAGATGGCTCAGCAGTTAAGAACACTGGCTGTTCTTGCAGAAGACCTGGGTTTGAATCCCAGCACCCACATGGCAGCTAACAACTGTTTGTAACTCCAGTTCCAGGGGATCTGACAGCCTCTTCTGTCCTCCACGGGCATTGTACAACATGGGTGCACTTACCTACATGCAGGTAATTCATGCATACACATAAAATAAAAATAATAAATTTTAAAAAGTAGTAAGAACAAATACTTTCTTACCAACTGGACTTCACCAAAAGCACCTCTTCCAATAACTTTTACAACATCATAGTCTTCTGCCTTCATTTGTAAACCTCTGATTTTTTTTACAATTTTCTCATCTATAATAAAAAGCACCATATATTTAATATCAAGCATCATATTTATTAGGAACATATAAAAATAATTACTATAGGGGCTGGAGAGATGGCTCAGCAGTTAGGCACACTGACTACTCTTGCAGAGGACCCAGGTTTGATTCCCAGCACCCACATGGCAGCTAACAACTGTCGATAACTCCAGTTACAGGGGATTTGATGCCCTCTTGTGACCTCCGTGGGCACTGAACAACGTGGCTGTACTTACACACATGCAGGCAATACACTCATATACATAAAATAAAAATAATGAATAAAATATTTTTTTTAAAAAAAAGAAAAATAATCACTCTTTCTTCTTTAAGACTTTTTGAGATAGGGTCTCCCTGTAGCCCCAGCTGGCCTGGAACTCACTAAGTAGACCAGGATGGTCTTGAACTCACAGAGATCTGCCTGCCTCTGCCTCCTGAGTGCTTGGGTTAAAGGCATGTGCCACCATGCCTGGCCTATTAATCACCATAACTCTAAATACTTTTTTATTACAAGAAACTGGAATTCATTTTTAGCTAGCCCTGTTAGTGTTCAAAGGACCCTATTTTAAAACTTTAAAATGTGGGGCTGGAGTTTAACTCGGTGGCAATGTATTTACCTAACGTGAGGTCCAAGGTTCAATCCCCAGTACTTCAATAAAGCAAACAAATAAATACTCTAAACTGTATGTCATCTTTACATTAAAGAACCAAAACTCTCTGAGATTGGTTGATACATATACATTAAGATTATTAACTGCTAAAAAGCAGTATTTACTTCTGATTCTATTGCTTAGCAAATACATAGTAATGACTCAAGTAATCCTGATATGCTTTATAAATCATGGCAGAAAGTAGCCATGAAGCCAGGGATGTAAGTTCTAGTCCAGCCTAGGCCATACAGTTAGAGTATGTTTCAAAAGAGAGAAAGGGAAGGGATGGAATTACTTGCCAATTCCAAACTTGGTAATAAACCTTAGCTTACTTCTTTAAAAAGGAGTAATCATATATGTCATATAGAGCAACTACTAGAAATTAATTGGAGAAATAATCTAGTGTCTGATAGCTTCAAAACAGAATACTTAATAATGGAGATATAAAGAGAATGTATTAATCATTTTGAGAAAAAAATTTAAAGATTTTTTTTTAACTTGTGTGTGTGTGTGTGTGTGTGTGTGTGTGTATCTGGATTTGTGTACAAGTACAGTCCTTGCAGAGGCCAGAGGAGGGAGTCAGATCTCCACAGTTGTGAACTGCCCAACATAGGTGCTGAAAACCAAATTTGGGTACTCTGCAAGAACAGTGTGTGCTGTTAACCACAGAGTCATCTCTCCAGTCCCTGGTGTGTGTGTGGTCTTTATTTAGACTGTCTTTCCTTGTAGCCCGAGCTGGCCTTGAACTTGTGGTAGTCCTGCCCTTAGCCTCCCAGGCTGCTGGGCACAAGCATGAGCCACCGTGCCCAACTCATTCTGAGAATTTATCTTCAGAATTCAGCTGTTACTGACAAATATTAAAGATTACCATATGGTAGTGACTGCTATCAGATTTTTTTTTCTTTAACTGGACTAAATGTCCACATTTGCTGAAGCATAAAGCTTATTGAAGTCTTCTAAGTGATTTAAATAAAGGTCAGTTATCAATATTAATTTAAATCTCTCTTAGAACATCCATAACCAAAATAGTCTTAACAATTTCATACAAAATTTTAAACTTTACATATTGTATTTAGTCCAGAAATATTAATCTGAAAATAAAGAGTATTCATTTTAAAATAAAACAAATGGCAAATTTAATAAAAGCAAGTATATAATGTTAATAGGCTAACCAAGTTAATAAGTTTAAGTAAAAAAAATTTATCAAATAAATCTTGTCTAAAGTATAGTTGTATGTCTCCAAACGTGTATTAAAAATAAATATACTTACATCTATTTAAGAAATTATCTATATTCTTATTTTTCCTTAAGGCAGGAAAATCCAAATCAAGGACCAAGGAATTTAAGCCATCCTGTTAAAAAAAAGAGAGTAAAAAGCAAGTTTTAATAATTTCTAAGCTTCAAAAACGTCTTTAAATATTCTCATGTTTTTCCCACTGAGCAAATAGTAACCAAATTGATACAATGCCCAGAATCTCCATAACCAATAACGAACAGGTTTCTTCACAGAGAATGCTAGCATTGAGAAGTCAGCAGTGTGCACAAGACCCTGAGTTTGACCCCCAGCAAAGCAAAATAATAAATGGAATTTTTAAGTTTTCATTTAACAAGCATTTTGTGTCTACTGCATAAGGAAGAAAGGAAGGAAGGGAGGGTGGGTGAGAAATAAAGAAGCAAAGAAAATCCAAAGCTCTGCTGCAAAACTAAAGAAAGAAGAAAAGTCTAAGAGCTCTGCTGCAAAACTAAAGTTTCCCCTAAAAGTTGGAAATGAGGATTATGTAATGCCTGGGTGTTTGTTTTCTTCTTTAAGGTCTCTCTCTGTATTTTCTAGACCTTTTATAAGAATTCACTAAACTTACTACATCAAAATAGGGAAAAGAAATAGTTAACTTGGTAAGAATTAAAAGAAGAAAGAAACCAACCACTGAGAAGTCTCAAATTCCTAGACTGATAAACTTGTGAAGGTCAGAGTATTTCTACAACACCCCATACACTAGCTCACCTTCAAGCAACTCTGAGGAGGTCAAGAGAAAACATTCTCATTTTAGAGATGAGGAAACAAACTAGGGCTCAGGGAAATGACATGACTGTTAGGAAACAATGGCAGAATGCTACCTAAATCTTAGAGGTACATTTGTTTAACTCATCCCCAGCTTCAACTATCAGACTGACATACTGCAAATACATACATACATACATACATACATACATACATACATAACAGAAGCTTGAAAGACAGAAAAAGAGAATTACAGGAAACAAAACATCAATGAAAAGAAACTTTTGGAGGACCTGGGTGACACAAACTTATAATCCCAGCACTTGGGAGGTTGAGGCAGAAGGATCGCTGGTTCCAGGTTAACCTGGACTACACAGTGAGATCCTATCTGAAAAAAACAAAAACAAAAAACCCACGTATACATTAAAAAATTATCCAGAGGCTAGCAAGATGGCTCAGCAGTTAAAAGCATTTGCTCTTGCAGAGGACCTGGCTTTGGTTCCTGGCATCCAAGTGGTGGCTAACAAATATCCAAGGTATCGATGCCCCCTGCTGGCCTCCGTGGGCATTGCATGAGACAGATGCACTTACATACATGCAGGCAAAACACTCATACACACAAAATAAAAATAAAATATTTTTAAAAGAAATATACAGAAAATGGAGTTATGACTCAGTGGTTAAGAGCACTGTCTGTTCTTACAGAAGACCTGGGTTCAATTCCCAGCACCCGCATGGCAGTTACCATCTATCTGAAACTCCAGTTCCAGGGAGACACAACACCCTCTTCTGTCCTCTGTGGGCACTGAATGACATGGGTACACATATATATGCAGGCATAACACACACGAATTAATGAATGAATGAATGAATGAATGAATTTTAAAAACAGAAATATCCAATTTCCAGTCAGGTCAGGACTAATAAATCTGTATTTCTTGAGTCATCCAATTACAGGTCTTGAACACACACAGACACACACACAGAGACACACACACAGAGAAAGTTTAACAACTTTTCAAGGATCTACTGTATGAATATTAGGCTACTTATAAGTGCAAAATATCAGCATATCTTTTAATGGTATCGCTGATAGTTTAGTGAATTTAAAATGTAAAATCCCAGTCATATATATTTTAGATATTATCCAGATTCACAATCTGGGAAGTGTTCTCCCCTGTCTCTAATAACCTCCATAGGAAGAAACAAATTAAGTGGCAAGGCAAAACCTATTATAAGAATTCACCTCAGGGGCTGGAGAGATGGCTCAGTGGTTAAGAGCACTGACTGCTCTTGCGGAGGATCTGCATTCAATTCCCAGCACCCACATGGCAGCTACAAACTGTCCTTAACATCTGATGCTCTCTTCTGAGCTCCGTGGCATTGCATGACACGGGTGCACTCACACACACTCATAAACATAAAATAAAAATAAATAAAATATATTTTTAAAAAATTTGCCTCAGCCTTTCCAACAAACAGAATATAGACAATTTACACTGAAATGGTAAACCAATGCATTAATGCCTCCATTTGCACATAATGAAAACAAAACTTTCCTTGAAACACTATAGTTTGATATCAATAAAAGAATGAAAATGTCTTAAATTTTTTTGGTGGTACAAGAGCCTCCTGAATACTAGGTAAGCCTTCTAGCACAGAGCTACAACCCCAGTCAACCCAGGACTGAATCCATGCTTTCCCCACATCCTCCTCAAAAACACTCTCAAAGTGGGCCTACAAGATGGCTGAGCTGGTAAAGGCATTTATTGGGCAAACCTGACAACTTGAGCTGAATCTCCAAAACCCATGGTGGAAAGAGAACAGACTCCTGAAGGTTGTCCTCGGATCTCTACACAGGTGCCCACATTTGAGCAATTTGCTCGTTTTGTTTTCCAATCAAGATTCTTATATTAGGTAAGAGAGGTAAATACAGTAAAGAAAGAGTCACATACACCTGGTGAGCCAGTTAAATGCAGGAGAATATAGCAAATCACAATCCTCAGTGACGTTTTTAATGTCTAGTTACAGATTTAACATTACCAAATCCCTGCTCACAACCTTATTAGTACTACAATTTTAAGTTCCTGCCTACATTTTCTGTTTTTTAAAAAAGGTGTTACTACAGCCAGGCAATAGCACCTATAGTCCCATTGGGAGGGTGAGGCAGGAAGATGACCGTGGGTTCAAGGCCAGTTTGGGCTAGGTAAAAGAATGAAAAAAAGCAAAGTGTTAAATTCATAATCACAGACCATATGAAATAATATTCAACATAACCACAAATTATGTAGCTTGTACTTCAGAGTCTGCTTACCAAAATTTAAAATTATACAGGCCAACACAACATTTATGATTAATTAACAGGAACTTTTCTTGATTACTTTGTACCATGTACTATGCAAAATACTAGACTGTAAGCTGAATGTTTTAATCTTGGCAATGTGTAAGTTATATACTGTTGTTAAAACCACAGTAATTAGTACAGAAACTAAGACTTAGATGCTAAGAAAAATTTCCCCAAGCCAACAATTTTTATGTAACAGAATTTGAATTTTATAACTTTTGTACTTCAAATATTATTAAATTTAAAAGTTACTGAAGTTATTCCTGTAACAGAATACCAAATATACACATTGAGATGAAAGAAACCCTAGTTAGGTATACAGCATAAGAAACCTGTTTCTATTTATCCACTGTACAGATTAAGTAACCAGGAAATGTTACATCAATTTATAATACAATTCCTCTGTCATTATAACTTTAAATATAAAACTAAAAATAGTGGAACCAAATGCATGAAATCAAATGAGCTTGGGTTTCAGATTCTAGAATATGTACTATAAATCTTACGGATAGAACTCAAATCTAAACTGAAGATTCATTTAAATTTCATATATACCTTACATAAATATCCTGAAGGTTAAGTTCATACAGATCTTAATCTGTGTCTGAGTTCGGACTCCAAGCCATCACTGAGGTCAAGTGTAGAATTTACCACTTAAGGCAACATGTTGGTGTTATGGTTTTGTTTTTTAAAAATTTTTATTTATTATTTTTATCTTATGTATATGGATGTATTGCTTGCATGTGTGTAAGTGCACCCATGTCGTGTAATGCCCTAGGAGGTCAGAAGAAGGCACTGAGTCCCCTGGAACTGGAATTATAAATGGCTGTTAACTGCCATGTGGGTGCTGGGAACCGAACCCAGGTCCTCTGCAAGAGCAGTCAGTACTCTTAAATGCTGAGTTATCTCTCTAGCCCACATGTTGGTGTTTTTAAGATTCAGGTTTTCAGATTAAGAGTGCTTAATCTACATGAATCTTTAAGCTATTACCTGTATGCTCAGACAGCAAACTTCTGGTTCTGAATAATATTGCACACTGTTTTAAAATATACTTTCAGCTGGGCATGGCGATGTATTTCTATAATCAGAGCACTGAGAAGACAAATCATGATTTAGAGGTCAGTCTAGGCAATATACAGAGACCCCAGCCTCAAAAAAAAGTTTATTTTGTATTTCACTCAGAAAAATCTACATCATATTAATTGATCTGTCATTTACTACTAACAGCTGAACAAAAGTTACATTTATAATACTGTATTGTTTTGTAACTACATGAAGATTTGGGTTTTTTAAAATATTTTATTATTTTTATTTTAGTGTATGTGTGTATTGCCTACATGTAGGTAAGTGCACCCATGTCGTGCAATGCCCATGGAGGTCAGAAGAGGCTATCGGACCCCCTGGAACTGGAGTTACGGACAGTTGTTAGCTGCCACGTGGGTGCTAGGATTTGAATCCGGGTCTTTGGCAAGAACAGCCTGTATTCTTAACTGCTGAGCCATCTCTCCAGCCCCAGTACATGAAGATTTATCAGCCAAATTAAATGACTAAATTTACTGTGTCTTTAACAAAAAGAATTTTATTACCTAATAAAAGAGATCTTTGTTTGAAGAAAAGATTTACCAAGAAACACGAGAAGAATGAATGAATTAAAAGGTAAAAGTGGGCTACTGAGATGGTTCAGTGAGTAAAAGCAGTTGCTACACAAGCCTGATTCTAGAACCCACCTACATAAAAATGTCATAAAGAACGCTGGTCGCAGTGGTGCGCACCTGTAATTCTAGCACTCCTGCCAGGAGTTGGGAGAAAGAGACAGGAGAATCACCTGGAATCTCAGGTCAGCTAGCCTGTAATACTCATAGCAGCAGAAACAGAACCTTGGATCAACAAGGTGGAAGGTGGGAACCAACTCCCAAAAGTTGTCCTCCGACCTTTGCACAAACACTGTGGCACACACACACACAAACACCAGTAGTGGGTAAATAAAATTTTTAAAATTTAAAGGTGAG